CCTTTTATTCCAACTACCACACAATCTCATATCAACTCCCTAAGCAAAGTCGGGTACCCCAGCTAGTGGGTTTATAAAAAGCAGACATGCCAAATTCAAAAATCAGGAGAAATTTTCACTGATAAAAATAATTTTAAAACAATTAAAATATTCAAAAAGGGTATTCTTTTTATGAAAAATAAAATATAAATGCTTTTAAATTTATACCTGAAAAAGCAATCTAAAAATTTTTAAAAGCAATGAATACAAAATATATCATACATAAAAGTATTTAATATATGCAGCTAGCAAAGTAGTGAACGAGCTTCCAGAATAAATCTGCAGCATTCAAGGGCAGATTGGGCTCAAATAAAAGGATAGAAAATAGGGTTTTTGCATTAAAAACATTTTGATCATTTGTTTCCTCAGAACGTTTTTTTTTCATTTTTCTCAATACAATTTACATTGAGCCCAATCTACCACTGAATGCTTCCAGTTATGTGTGCAGTTTTATTAGAAAAATATTTCCCGACAGAGAAATCAATAAGAAATATTCATGTGCAAGAACAAAAATACTATTAAAGAAATAGGAGTGAAAAATAAATCTCCAGTTGTTGAATCCATTAAAATAGGCATGATGTTAACTGAAAATTCACACACTATGTAATAAGGTTACTATAAGGAGTAACTTCTAAACGTAAATAAAATTTCTTTTTATCTTCATCTGTTTTTGCATACACATGTTTTAGGGCATTGGCCCTTTACTATGCAAAATCAAAACATTGCAGTAACAAAAGTTACACATCACAAATGTATTAAGTTTTTTTGATAAAATAATACAAGGAGAGTCATCAGAATGTAATTTCTGAAAAGTGCATGAGTATTTTACTTCTTCCACGGACAAAGTTAATACACAAGATCACAAGTCCTTAAACATCTTCAGCAAGTACATAACATGAAGCTCACCCCGTTTAATGATTCCAGAAATGCAAGAGAACTGTGTTAATCTTGCTTTGTGCTTAGTGCACCAGATGACCAGCAGTTGCATTTGATGCCCACTGGAAAACTGGATCATAGCATCTTTAGATGTGTCTATTCCCACATGCATGGCAGTAGTATTAGTCAAAACCCTTTTTTTTAAATGGGTAATTAAAAGTAAAACCAATGATTTCAGATTACATAAAAAGTACTTGGGGGGGAATAATGAAATTTAAGCTGAACTAATAAAATCACGAACATTTTTGGAATTGGAAAATGTATGTTGCAAACCGGTTTGATTGAAAAAATGAGTCTGCACGTCTGACAAGAGAACAGTGTGTCTGCACATGTTGATACTTATAAATGAGATTTGTACTGTTTAACTGAAAATATTCAGTTGGAGATCATACTGTGTTCTTATTAATGTCTGTTTAATATTTCATAATTCTGGCCTCCTTCATACTTCTTATTTGTAATATATAGCAGAGTTATTAGGTGTTTTGATGCTGGAGACATAAAAAATATGCAATGCCCTCGCTGGGATTCAAACTGCAGATCGCCCGAATGCGCATTGAGTGTGCTTCCAGTTATACCACGAAGGCATGCAAGAAGGAGGGAGAAAGTATCTTATATACTCCCCCTTTTAAAGAGTCACTGGGGATGAGGGGATTAAACTGCCAAATCATCATGGTGACACATTATCATCCACCACCGTTTAATTTGGGCAGCACTGTCTTAAAGAATTTTTTTTATCTTAAAGTATCTTAGTCTTAAAGAATTTTTTTCATCAGGAAACAGAAGAAATATGCAGTGCACTCACTGGGATTTGAACTCTGGACTTCCTGAATACACATTGTGCATGCTTCCAGTTACAGCATGAAGGCATGCAGCAAGAAGGAAGAAAATACCTTATAATATAACAGTTCCAAGTTTATACCTGAAAAAAAATCCATTCTGTTTTGCTGCACTGCTAGAGATGGCACATTTTATGTTATTATATACTAATACTGTTTTCCTACTAGTGAAGATGAAATCTCTTTAAACTTTCTACTGATATGAAAACTAAATCTTTATATTCTTAGCATAATTTATTTTTATGTAGGTCACAGAATAATCAACAGATGGAAATTTTAACCTGTGTTGCAAATAGGGAAATTGCCGAAAAATAAAAACTTCTGTATAATGAAGAATTAATAAAAAATCTTAATATTTTTCAATTAGTAGACTAGTATAATTAATTGGACTGAAAATATTTAATTTTTAATGTAGTCTCTACAATATTAATATAGGTGAGTGAACCCACAATATTAATATAAGTGAATCAGTTCTTGTATAATGCTGGGGGGAAGGCCAGTTGGACTTTGTAACTAACGATGCACCATCTTTTTCATGTTCGTAGGCCATTTTGAACTTCTTGCCAGCAAAACACTCTTTAATGAGTACACTTACTAACTTGCTGAAATGAAATACAGCCAGCCAGCCCTATTACTTGTGAATTTATCTTACATTGAATATATGTTGGTTTGGTATTGTCAGTATTCAAAAATTAAATAATTGTTATCTCCTTATGGATTTATTTTCAAATGGATCGTTATTTTAGTTGTTTTTTGCTGATCATACTATTTTCTACCAGACCAATGACGTTGCATATGCTGATAACCTCTCATAAGAGGGCATTGTACAAGAAACAACTAAATATATATTTTCACCATTATATTAGTTTTGCGAGTGGCATAACCAAAAGCACTGCTTCTTAATGCCAGACATGTCTTTACATAAGCCTGTGGAAAAGAGGAAAGGCATTTTTCTCATTCGTGACACAGCAATGCATGCACAAAAGTTTTTAATTGTCTGCTGTGCACAAAAGTTTTTAATTGTCTGCTGTGCACAAAAGTTTTTAATTGTCTGCTGCAAACAGCAGTTCTATGACAAGAATTTAAAATAAATAAATTCTATCATAAAAAAAAACTGAATGTTGTGTCACACATTCAGAAAATTATTTAGAGATTAAGTTGTTATATTGAAAAATGGTGCAGTATTTCTGTTTCTTGTACTCCACCATGTCACTCAATAGTCTTCTAAACTAACAATAAACAAATGTAGCTCATTTTGTTAATCGCCCACTTATTACAAAACATACTCTTTAAGGGGGAGAATTATGTTTACGATAATGAATTTATACTTTTATTTTAACTTTTATAAGTCTCCCATTAAGATATTTTTATTAAATTCAGAAGTAATAATTAAACGTTTTTACAAAACATTTGAATCTATACAGGTTGTATCAGTACATTGATGACAAAATTTCAGCAGAGAGAAGGTACGTCTAGACAATGGAAAATCGCATGATCAAAAATGCCTTCCTGGCGTGGTAGTGATGACACAATTCACAAGATAGGGAGAACATGAACAGAGTCAGAAGACATGTTTATTATGCTTAGCACAGCAGAAATCAAAAAATCATAACAAAAATAGACAACAGTTGTCATCAAAGAAGGTGTTCGAAGTTATGACCCCAGATCAGGATGCAGGAACCGTGTGTCATGCATCTTCCATGCACTGGAGATGTGACGCCAACATCACAGTTTGGGATATTAATTTCAAACACTTTCTTTAATGATGAATTTTTTTTTCCCTTCTCAATTTCTGCTGTACTAAGCTTAGTTTGTCCCCGCTGTACTCACACACCCTGTATAGCCTGGCTTTCATGATTTTTTATTTGGATATTACTGGCAACAAATTTTCTTACTGAGTATTGAAACATCTACCATATTCTATTGATAGTCACTTTTATGTGTTGCCAATTGAATATTTTGTCAGAAATCGTTCAACTTCAAAAATATTAATATTAATAAGCTAAATATTAATTCTGCACTGTTTAATCCATCCAGATAACAATAGGGATTTCAGTTATTTTTCTGTTAACAAGGCACTAAAATGTGTACATTTAAAACAGTAATCTTACATCATGACAAGCATTGTAGATCAACTTGTTTTGAATGAAGGAATCTACGTGGACTGGTGATAAGCAAATGATATCTATCTGCCATTAAATTATTTTGGGAAAAGGAATTATTGTACATAGTGAAAGGGATTGTTTGACTAATGGATACCATACTTTTTTGTGCAGCAATGGGCTGCAGTATATTGCTATGGTTCTCAGTATTTGAAACTACATTTCATACCACATTTCTGCTTAGCAATAAGTGCTGTACAATTATAACAAGTATTGGAATTTTTAGCTTTCATACTCAACAACACTTTTCTGTCACTAAGAAGTTCTAATTAAATTGAATAGTCCTGAGAAAAGGGAACTCAAACTACAATATCATAAAATTTTAAATCAAACTGCTGTAAACAGATATTTAAAAAAAGGCAGAAAATAATTTTCTGTATGCTTTTTATATAAAATTAAAAGACATCTAAAATGTATTTTTCCACTTAAAAAAAATGCTTTAATGCACTTTTTTTTTTATTTAGTTATTTTTTTTAATTTATCTTTTGTTATTCTTCCTTTCTTTAGTCTGAATCTAATGATTTTCATTTCATGGAAAACTAAAAATCTGCACAGGCTCAGGTCCTATGCTATGAAGATTTTCGAGTTCTTTCTATATTATAATTTAGGTTAATCATTGGATGAAAAATTAATTCTTGGCCTTAAGTTCCAATCTGAAACTCAACTTTTATTTTAAAATCAAGATCAAGACCACAGAGAAAGAAAAAATTACACATGTTTACATTTCCTTAGGATTGATACATTTTGAATATATAACTAAAAATTATAATACAGTGGTGCCTTGGTTATGTCCAATTTGAAATACATCTATCTAACTTGGTATATGTCATGTTTGGATGTGAAAATTTTGATTTGGAATATGGTTCAAGCTTGAAGAGTCATGACTACATACACTACACTTTTTAACTCTTTTGACTACTTGTAGACAATGCTACAACTACCCATAAACATCAGTATGACTGTTGATACCATTCAGTATGCAACTTGCACTATAATTCTAAATTAACAAGTTTTTTTTTTTTTGTGTTGTGTGTGTGTGTGTGTGTGTGTATGCGCGCGCATGCGTCTGTAGTGTAAATGTTTTATAAATTCATTGCTAATGAGTTTTAGGAAACTTAATGAGAAACTAAAGCAATGAAGAAAAGTTTTAGGATTTCAAGAGGTGAAAAAAAGAGATTATTGAAAGTATGAAAATGGCATACATATCAGAGACTATTGCATGCCGTATGCCAAGTACTGTGAAAAGCATATGCTATTAAAGCAACTAACATTGCTAAAAGGGTAAAATCCATTACCAAACAAAGATCAAAGACATTAAATCATGTTGAAAAATTGTTTTGGATCTGAATAGCAGGAAAAACATCTATATATTGTATCATGTGCAGTGCTTCATTTATGTACAGAATATATTGCACCCACTGCATTTGTATTTTGACATTAAACAGTGTTACAATAATAACAATAAGAATTTTTCTATAAGAATGAATTCTTAATTATTTTCCCTTTATCTCTTATTGGAAAAGTTTGTTTGGCACACGTCTGAGAACCTGGAAAAAATTTTAATGTTATACCAAGGTAACACTGTATTTTCAATAAAAAATATATCTGTACAAAAATTTATTTATGAATAAACAATGCAATTAATTATAGTACACTTATCAGAGTTGCAAAATATATATATTTACAAATATAAAACAAATATACAAGTCATGTTTTAAGCATTTATGTTTCTAAATCTACCATTACAGGTTGTTCTTCATCTGGCACACCTTCAAAATCCCATTTGTATATTGATGTTATACTTTTCCGAAATCTATTTGCAAACATTTTAAATTCCTCATCAATATCACTGCTTTTGACATTTTCAAAGAAGATTCTTAAAGTATTTACAAGGAAATTATTCTCAGAAGTTATATCAACAAAAAAGTCTGTAGGTATTTCCTTTAACTGATAGTGTAAAATTGTAAGAAAAGTTTTGAGTAATTTTGAATGTTTCTGTAATCCTGAATCAAGGGAACATAAAATGTGTACTAATTTTTTCCAGTGTTCAAAGGCATCATATACATGTGCAATAAGAAAACACACATGAGCCATCTGCAGCTCACCGAGTATGTCATCATCTTTTTCAAAAGACTTTAACAACTGCTCCAAAACATATGTTGAATCCATGCTGTGCATTGTTATTTCTGCTGCAGAAGATCCCTCAGGGTACCTGCAGGAATATTTTTTTAAATACATACAATAAACAGAAGAAATATGAAATCTCATAAAGTGGTAATTTCAAAAAGCTAAAATAACAATATTTTCCCTTTGTAACTGAGAAGTTTTACAAATATACTAGTTCAAAATGAAACATAGTCACTATACTACTTTACAGTAGTTACAAAGTAAAACTTATCATTCAATGACTTAGATATAAAATTTACTCCAACAACTACTTCCATTACTGTACAACAACTTAAGTCTTTAAAGAATGTTAAACTTCTTTAACACGTTCACCGCTGGTCATGTGAGGTTTTATTGATAGATATTGCTGTGTCATAGAAATAGATTGTACTCATATGCTGACTTACTTATTATAAGAAATACGATTTAAATTTGAGGTAATAAAAGAATATTATGTGTATCACATTGATTACTGACCTTTTAAGCATAGAATTTTATGACTACATGCCAATGAATGATTATGAACACTAGAGATAAAATTATTTCTGCAATGATGCATTACGCGCTGGCAAGTGATATTAAAAAATTAATCGAAATAACAATATGCATTATTTTTGTATGAAACTATATCACAAACATATATATATATTGCAAATGAATTTATTATAAGATAGTTACAATGACATTATTGCAAACTATATATTGAAGAATATTATTCGTGTATGATCTTTGCATGAAATGAAAACTTTGTTTTCAATCCATTCCACATAGATTCACAACTAGTTTCTAACCTTCACTTCACACCAACGCCAGCATGAATATTCAAAATATAATGCTGATTGAATTTGAAAATAAACAATGAGATGTTGTTTTTCCCATGCCAGTACATGACTGGCACATGAAACATCACTCTACACTAAGTGCCAGAGCATGCTTGGCTCTTCAGCAATAACAGCAATCATGCGCCAGTGCGTGATCGGCAGCGAATGTTTAAAATTATTTTATTCAGTGTTAGCAGGAAAAAAAATTTAAAGGAAAAATTGTTTTAGCTCATCATCGAACTATTCAAAAAAGTAATATTAAAGTATCCACAGAAAGAACATTATTCCTTATACATATACCTGATGAGTTACAGAAACATTGAAATGTCTAATTAAGATAAAGAAATGCCTAAGGTTTTCCTTGGCAAATGTTTTTGAAATTAAATTAGGTAAGTTCATATGAAATAAGACATAAAAAATACTAACTTATTTTGAGGGATATCTGTAAATCGTATCTCAGTTCCTGGAACTTTCTTCATATCTGGTAAATATTTATCTTCCAAAGTCTGAAATCGTCTCTCTGTAGTACTGTCTGGTTCTGTGCTTTCCTGTGAAGGATAACTTAGAGGAACTAACTGAGTGACTGAACTCACTGTACCAGATAATGGCTGCAACTTCTTTACTAATGATTCTGTAAACATAAATTTAAAAATCAAAAATAAATATGTATTAAAATTTCAAACATTATTGCAGCAAAATGTAACAAAAAATTATTTCTTTATTTATTAATTGAAACAAACTAATAAGCTTTATTTCAATACACTGATTGTGATGATACATGAAATCAGCAAAAGAAATCATAAAAAAAAGGATTAAAAAATATATTTTTCATTGTAAATAAGTGAAGGAAATATGACTATTTTAATAAACTATAACTTTACTTTCAATTTCAAAGGTACCAAAATAAATTTTGTTAAACTATGATCCATCAGTTATAATCTGCATATGTCTAGTCTTGTATTCTGATGATTAAACATGATCAACTAGTATCTTGTATTCTGATGATTAAACATGATCAACTAGTATATTACAATTATTATTATATTCCAACACAAAACGTTTCATAAAGAGAAAACAGCTAACACTCTTTTTAAGAGAAAAAATTATTAAAAAATATTAATATACATATTGTGCATGCCAGATACATTTCTTAATCAGTAAGTAACCTATACATATAGGGTCAACGAAAAAGATGGACCTGATTTAAATTTTTTTTTTTTTTTTTTTTTTTTTTTTAAGTATTGAAACAGTTTAAGAATTTTCATTCCAAAATAAATTATTTAAGTTTTCTGGACCATATAATTAGAAAATTTTCATAAAGTTTCATTGGTTTGCTTGCAGGATATCACAATATTATTCTGTTTCTATCTACATATACTGGATCATGTCTGGTATCATTGCAACAATGGCAACAACTGATGCATTTTTTGCAACAGATGGTTGGACATCCTTCTGTTATCAGGACTGAATTCAGAAATGCAGGTATGTATGCATGGGTGTATATGTTTGTACATATGAGTATGTGTGTGTGTGCATACACACACATACATGTGTACGTACATATATATGTGCATACATAAACACATACATCCATACATACATTTCTGAATCCGGTGCTGATAACAGAAGAGTACCAATGGTTGTGTCCCAAAAAGTATGTTGAACAGTTAGATAACAGGTACAAGTAGAAATGGGCAGGAGACTAGAAATTCACAGTTGGTCATACAAGTATAGTTTTGCCACACTAACTGTGCAGTTGCACCACAATTTTGAGGAAGGAACACCTTGGGAGATACTCCTAGTCTCCCAACCCTTCTCCCCTACAACCAACTTCTCAAGAGGATTTCTGGTTTGCTGCATATTTAGAGTGCCCCTTGCACATAAAGATGCACCACCATACGGGCAATGCCACACGACACACAACAGCGCCAAGGTCTTAAAGGCAACTACAACCACCAAGGCTTTAAAGGCACCTCCGATAATTTTATTATCTACCAATACTGAGTTGGATGTGAAAACATACTACTCCTCTTCCTCTAGAGGCTTTAGGTAGGTGCCGTTCAGTCAAAAATTTTCAAGTGTTAGCTTGCAAAATCTTTTTATTTAAAAGCTTTGGTCAGTACAGGTTCATGCAGGTGTTGATTTGTCATTGCTGTCATGTACACATGAGCCGTATGAGTGTACCAAATATATGCATTTGTAAGTCCTGATTTGCTAATATAGTGAATGTGAAAAATATTTTTAAAAAGTAAGGTAAGTGATTTAGTGAATTCAGCTTTATACTTGAAAATGCCTCAAATTAGGGATATGTGATTAGTTACGAATTACTGCTTTTTTAGTCTTGACAACTGTTGCCACATGATGACGCCTGGATTTAAAAAGTGTATGGAAGTGCTCCAGAACATACTCTCACAGACGTCTTCTAGAATTTCCCATAAATCAGTTAAGGATGCTTTGTAGTTAGTTAAAGATAATGTGTTTGCATGCCTTTTTCAAGAGTATTCCAATGTGTTCAAAAGAATACAAGTCCAGCTTCCCAGCAGCCATTTTAGCAAGCAGAGTTCAATAGAATGCTCCTCAAAGCAGATGGTAGCCAATTGGCATTTGTAACAGTAGCAGTTATCCTGCTGATGCACTGTATTTCCATACAGATGATAGAAAAGCATGAAAGGATGTAAATGATCCCCCAGTAAATCCAGATACTTATATTTTCGTATAGTGCTTGGTATAAGTACCAAATGTCTGAAACTTTGGCAAGACAAAACGCTCCAGGCCATTAGTGACCTTGTAAAGTTCCAGCCTGTGCATTGGATCCTTGACTTCATGCGGCTGGCCCACATTCTTAGACTACCATCAGCACGATCCAGTTGGAATTGATATTTATCTCTATATGCTACTCACATCCGATATTCAAGTGTACAGACATGGTGATCTGTAGCTCATGCAAGATGGTGAACATGGTGATGGGTAGTATAAATAGGTACTTTCGTGGGTCTCCCTTTTTTGAAGCCCATACTGCAAGGTGAGCATTATTCACTTCGTCCAGCAACTATCCTACTAGGCCTCCTAATTCTGTTAAGTGGTCAACTGAACTAAAGTTTTGGAGTCATTAGTCACATAAGATACAGTTAAGTCTTCAAAGATCATGAATATTCAAGGCTGCTTATCACTTGCAGTTTTGCACCGATTACTCTTTCTTTTTCCCTATTTTTGTACTTTTGCCATATTCTTAAAACCATTGACAGGGTTCATAGCTACATTTTAGTTAAAAAAAATAAGCACCTATAAGCACTTTTCAAGCACATTTTAAGGAAAAAATAAGCACCTGTCTAATTACATTATACACAACTGCATAACCTTAAAAGAAAAATTAGACTTGTAATTTAAAATATGAGCAATGCAATATTTATTAAGAGAATGAGCATTACCTCAACAATGGAAAACAATTAACTTTTTTGGTTGATCTTTACAATATGGTAACTGGTAGTTTGGTGACATTTTGGAGGCGATAAAGGTTACTACCTGGGACTTTGGTAATAATGTGAGCAGTACTCAGTTTTGATTACGCATTATTTTGCGTGAGGGAAATGAGAGATCATGGGATATGTCATGTGATATTAATGGACGAATTACGGTTCTTTAAATCAGAAAAGGGGGGAAATCAAAAAATGTGGAAATTTTGTATTTAGCTTTATTCTGTGTTGTGTGAAACAGTGTTGTTTAATTTTTGGATCCCATGGCCCTAACTAAAGTAAATTCGAAATGGGTATTTAGGCATTGTGATAAAGAGAAGTTTGCTTTTTATTTAGCGGAGGAAGTATGGAGGAAAAATTCGCACAAAAAATCTTTCAATAATTTTATTGAATGAATTAGAAAAGTGTATCCGCCACGTAATCAAGATTCTGAAGAAGATTAGGTAAGTTAGTATTTTTAATTATTTGAGGATATTATTTTTATGCATTGTTTGTTCTAAATGTAAGGTGGAAAGGAATTTGGTATTATTGGGAAAATTGTTATTAGCAATGATTTAGTTTAAAGTAATTAGGATTGTAAGGCAATTTTTATTAATTTAATGTATGTGCTCATTTATATTTTAAGTAGTGTTTTTGAATTTAATTATATTTTAATGAAATGATAGTTATTTTGAGAATTTTATGTTTGTAGGAATTTGGTATACTATAAGTTGAAATAAACGTGTATGGAAATAATTTAAATATTTGATACTAAGTATTTGTAATGCTTGCGGTATGAATTCATTGGTGACGTGTATAATGTAATAGATGATTTAGAGGTAAAAGTTTTTGGATATTTTATTTATTTTATATGTGGAAATGTTCATATTTGTAAAGGGTAAATACTTTTTCGCGATCAGGTAAGGTAATTTCATATATGTTCTTTTTACCGGGTTTAAAGATTGATTGAGAAAATTGTCATGTATTTTCGTGAAATTGTTCTAATTTATGAGAAAAAAGCAGTGTACATGGATATAGTGAAGAGTGTGCGCAATGCCATTTTTGTGCAATTCTGGGATGTTTTTTTAAGTAAAAATAAGTCGGCGTGTACATGGTTATGTGTATGTGTTATTTTCAAAAACGCGTAAGGAGTATGGTATTGTGCACTTTTCCCAATTTTGCAGTGAATATTTGTCATGATTAAGCAGTTTTGTTTGATAAAATTTCTAGCATAAGTGTAATTCGGCTAGTAGATTGTTGGAAGAAGTGTTCAGTAGATAAAAAGAAAAGAAACATGTCTTTACTTCGTGAAGACCAAATGGCGGCGGGGAAAAAAAGAGGGTTGCTGTAGGAGAGTTGGTTGCCAAATTTTCGCCAAAAAATCGCCAAGTTACCATAATGTAAAGATAAACCACTTTTTTTTTTTTTTTTAATTTTAAATGACAGTTCAATTTACAGAATTAGTTTACAATGAGAAAAAAAAAAACTATGCAGAACTAAACTATATTACAAAATTTAATGATGATATTTCAGTTGAAAATATAGAAAATAAATAATAATAAGCCATATTAATTGTATTCATTTGGCACCTAATAATAAATACAATTTGTTTTTCCACTCATATTAATATTTAAATAATTTAACTTAAATCAAAATTCTGAACATTCTTAAAATTTTCATTGCATAACAGTTTTCCCTTAACATATATCTCAAGCAAAGAAATTTAAGTAATAAAGAGGCACATTTCTGAAATCAGAAGACAGGAAATTGCTTCATTCAGTCATCCTTTAACAGTAAAAGCTTAACTAACCTGCATACTCGAAATTCCTGAATATTCCGGATAGTAACTGGAAAAAGAGAAGTGGGGGAGATTGTAGCTGTTCTTTAGATTTAAATTTAGGCTAAATAAATGATTTTGACATTTCGATATGTGCAACATATAAAAACCAACGAAACTGAGAAATATTCTGCTTAGAAAGCACAGTAAAACTCTTTTAAGTGTGCATAAACAAATCTCAGACTGAACATAAAAATTAATTATCAATGCAAAATACCGCAAACGTTATTGTGCAATACTTGCGGCGTAATTCTTCCATATGTGATATTACGCAATCGGAATCAACACCTGCCAGTATTCGGAGAAAAAAAGAACTAAATAAAGGAAAAGAAAGAGACTTAC